GAGGCTGAGATCTGAGGACGCCAGTTCGAAGCCAGAAGGGATAAAGAGACCATGAGACTCATCTCCATTTTAATACCCCCTCCCCCAAAAAAAGCCAGAAGTGGAGCTGTGGTTCAAGTGGTGAAGTGCAAGCCTTGAGATAAAAAAACCAAAAAACTTAAGAGAGGGCACAGGCCTTGAGAAAGCAAAAAACTTACAAGCCAGGGCCCAGGATTGGCACTAAAAGAAACTCCCAACTCAAAAAAATGCTTCTCTACTTTTGACAAGCCTCCATCCTGGCCAGGAAAAAGACACACAAAGACATCCCAGACTTCCCCATCCAGCGAAGCTGGATGAAGAGGCACAGGAGGCCGCAGGAAGCCAGACACCCGAAGCAGGCAAGCGCCACACGCTATGACCAGAGCTAGGACAGATTCTTGTAACCCAGATCGCCCCTGGAGCTAGGGCAAGCTAGATGTGGCATTCAAATCAACACAAAAATCCTACTGTCAGAAATAACCTCAAGGAAACCCCACACTTACCTCGGCTGTTGGAAGGAACTTGCTGCATAGTGGTTGTAGTAGTAGTAGTAGTCCCTCCCTCTATTTATTCCCCAGAGCTGGGTCCGCCCTTCCCACCTCCCACTCACAGGCCTTGAGCTCGCTCACACACACAGCTGTTTATTATATAAATCCACAACCTCAAATGTTTGTCTCCTAACTGGTGCTGGAAGAGTCTCTCTTCTCCAGGACAAAAGCATCATTAGCACCTGTGAAGCTGTTAGAACTAACACATTCTAGACCCTTCTGCAGATCTACCGACAGTCTAGAAGTGAAACCAGGAACTGTGCTTGCAAGGAGTCTCAGGTGCTTGCAGTGTACTCCGGAGTGGGGAGCTCACAGATTCAGGAGGGCTTTCAGCCGCTTCCTCCCACCCTTATGCCTGCTTCTCTGCTTCTGTCTTTTGTTTCTTCTCCTGATTATTTTTGGCTAGTCTTGGGGCTTTGCCAGTCAGGCCCTGGGCACTGTCTCTGAGCCTCCTGTGCTCAAGGCTAGCACTCTACCACTGGAACCACAGAGCTACTTCTGGCTTTTTCTATGTATGTGGTACTGAGGAATCAAACCCAGGGTTCATGCATGCTAAGCAAACACTCTACCACTAAGCCACCATCCCAGCCCCCTCCTGATTGAATTTTACAGTAACCTGGGAAACAAACTGGTCCAGACAGAACTTGCAAGAAGGTAGTGCCAGAAAGCAATCATCTTTAAAGGGACTGGAGGCTGGGCACTGGTGGCTCACACCTGTAATCCTAGCTACCCCAAGGCTGAGATCTGAGGATTGTGAGATTCAAAGCCAGCCTGGGCAAGAAAGTCCATGAGATTCTCCAGTTAACTACCGAAAAGCCAAAAGTGGAGTTGTGGCTCCAGGTTTGAGAGGAGGAATAAAAGCTAAGGGATAGTGCTCAGGTTCTGAGTTCAAGCCCCAGTACCTGCAACAAAAAGAAGAGACCTAAGTAGATTGAGGTCATTACAGAAGCAGGAAGCCCATACTCCCTACCTGGGGGCTAAGGACATGTGTTTCTGAGCCAGGATCCTGGCCTGGCTGAGGACAGGAAGAATCCTGAAAGCTGACCACGGACTTTCTTATGCCTAGACAGCCAAGTTCTTTCCCCTTCAAAGGGCAAGTCACAAACCTGCTTTGATTCCTTGTATGCTGTCTTCTGTCATTTCATGTGATATCAGGACTGGTGTAAGGCCAAATTCTAGAGCTGGAGAAACAGAAGATTTTAGATGCTGTCATTCCCCAGCAAAAGGCAGTCCACGATCAGCACGTGGCACAATCTTACTCTCTCCACCTCACTCAGACCTGTTGAAGTGGAATAAAGGACTTTGTTAAGTCACACCAGTTTTGCTTTAACTCTCCCGAAGAAGAGTAGATGGCTTCCACAGCAAGTCACAACTGTGGGTTGACATGGTCCTGCAGCCCAGCTACTAAGGCAAATGGCAATGGCGCCCCCATGTGGCAGCATCAACACTAACTGCATGTCACCCAAGACCAAAGGGGCCTAGGAGGGACTGGGGATTCTTGGGGTATGAATGCCACTTGAAATTTTCATTGTCCAATATTTGTTATCCATAGTCAGCCACTGTCTGAAAACATTAAATTGAAAATTCCACAAATAATTTTTTTCGGGTCCGGACGTGGGGCCTGAACTCTGGGCCTACATGCTGTCCCTCAACTCTTCAGCTCAAGGCTAGCGCTCTACCACTTGAGCCACAGCACCACTTCTGGCTTTTTTTTTTTTTTTTTTTGCTTATGTGGTGCTGGGGAATCGTGCAAGACCTCATGCATGCAAGGCAAGCGCTCTACCACTGAGCCACCTTCCCAGCCCCAATTCATAATTCATACCATAATGATAATCTCATGCTGTCCCTTGCGGGGCTGTGACATCCCTTCTGTCCAGTGTGTCTGTTATACCCTATCTGCCCATTTTGTAGTAGCCATTTAGGTTACGAGATTGACCGAGTCAGTGTTGTTGACCTCAATTACTGTTCCTAATTTATACATTTACTACAGATGTAAAAATAAAAATCATGTGCACACACAAAATTTAGTTGGAGTAAGTACCCCACTAATAAGGAAGCACAACTATAATGCTATTTCCAGACAAATTTAGTACACCTTTCTCCAGGTTAATAATGCTTCTCAATGAGCTGGCATGAGGATTCCTAGCTCTACCATGTTTTATGAAATTCATTCACCTTGCTCCTTCCCTAATTTAGGAAGTGCAGGGTTGAATAAAATGATTCAAAATGCCAGACTCAGCCTGTACCTGTACTGGTGGCTCTATGCCTGTAATCCTAGCTACTTAGGAGGCTGAGATCTGAGGATCAAGGTTCAAAGCCAACCAAGGAAGGAACGTCCTTGAGATTCTTATGTTCAATTAACCACCAGAAAACCAGAAGTGGAGCTCAAAGTAGTAAAACATTAGCCTTGAGCAAAAGAGCTCAGGGACAACACCCAGGTCTTGAATTTAGTGCCCAGACCTTGAGTTCAAGAGCCATGACTGGGAAAAGGAGTGGGGGCGGGGGGGAGGAGCCAGGCTCATGCCAGTAATTCTAGCTATTCAGGAGATTGAGATGAGGTTCCTGACTCAAAGCCAGCCCCACGGAGTGAATGTCCTGCTTTTTCTGTCTTGCCAGCATATGCCAAAACTGGACTAGTAAAGCCAAGACTGGGCCTGACACTTGTCCATGGATATTGGGCAAATTCAAAGTATCATCTGCCATCCCCCCTGATCCCCTAGAAATAGACGTTTATTTTCCCATGTGTGTTGCTCATACTTTATGTGGGCTTTTTTTTTTTTTTTTAACATTTCTACTGTTGAAGTGACCGATGCTTAAGAGGTCATGTCCTAACTAAGAACCCAGTGGTTCATGCCTATAATCTTACTGAGGAGGCTGATACCTGAGGATCACAGTTCAAAGCCAACCTGAGCAGGAAAATCTACATGACTCTTGTCTCCAATTAACCACCAAAAGCCAGTAGTTGGGGCTCTAGAGTTCTAGCCTTGTATGAAGTTCAGGTTCAAGGCCGAGTACATGTTACAGAACTGCTCCCCTCCCCCCCCCAAAAAAAAAGGTCACAGGAAAACAGCATTCCAGGACTCAAGGTCCTGTCTCAGGTCCAAGGTCTCCAGATGACTGTGGGAAACACCCCCATTTGTAGAACACTGCCCAACCTCCCTCCTCTCCCCTCCCTCCCTCTTCCTGGCCAAGAGCTCAGATACCTTTAGCCTACTGAGCTCAAAGCCCTTACACCAAACCCTAAGAGACAATAAGCACACATTCTATCACCTAACCCAGGACCCCAGCCCTTTTTGTGCTTCTTCAGATAGGTTCTCCAATTTCTGATAGAGGCCAGCCTTGGATCAAGATCCAAGATCCCAAGCAAATGGGATTACTGGTGTTAGCTACTATACCTAGCTTCTTTGTTGAGATAGGGTCCTTCTGCCCAAGCCCAGGCCCAGAGGTACACATCACTATACACAGCAAAATAAGGATGGTTTTTGCTTCACATCTCCAATTTTTGGAAGGTTTTTACTTTACACACTTCCTAAGGGCATTCCTGAAAAATCTCCCCTTTTAAAACATCTAAATAACTTCCTAAAGAGCACCAATATCCCACTATCTTCCCTATGAAGACCACTGCTGTTCTTGAGAAGTATCCAGTTACTATGTCTTACAGCCCAAACCCTCACCAACCCAATGGAAGCAGAATTCACACACTTCCCACCCAAGCGGCCCCATTGGAAAAGTTTGTAATTGCTTTGGTTTCCTTCCCAGCACCCTCTTGCGCAGGGTCACACGCCAAATGATCCCAGAACTCCTGGAAGCTATCTGGGCCCTGGCCCACCTCTGGATGGCTGGGCCTAGGCTCCCACTCCAAGAAGAGACACAGGAGAAGAAAACCAAGCTCACCACACACATGCTTAAACCTGGCTAGACCAAAAGTATGCATGACTGAGCCCCAAGGCCCTGAGGCTGGGGCAGTTAAGGTATCTTCTGATGACTTCTGCCCCTGGCCACACTTGAAAGCACTCTGCATTCACACAAACACCCATCTCTCACACACCCCATTCATCAATCAGGGCACCAATTGTTGTAGCTGCTTCCTGCTTTGGGCATACCAACCTTGGCACCTACCTTCTGATGCTGTCAAACCTTCAAAGAAAGGCCCATGGGGAGCTCACACACTCTGAGGAGTAAGGCAGGGATTCCTACATTGGAGGAGCCGAGTAGGAGTGGGGGCCAGGGATATCGCCTCATGTCCCAGGGGGCAATGACTGCATTGTTATTCTGACCCAAGGGCTCCAACAAGGAGTTTTTCTTTTTCTCCCTCCACTCCCCCACTGATCCCTTTTCCAACGTGCGCGCGCGCGCGCACACACACACACACACGCACACACGCGCGCACACACACACGTACGTTATATTAGGAAATTAAGAAAATCATTCCTCTGCATTTAAAACAGGTTTCTTTTTATTAGTTTTTCCTAAACTTGTCTCATGTTTACTGAGTATTTTTCTTTAGTGTAAGAATGTGACTTGGAGTTTTAACAAACCAATTTGGATAACGCAACCTGGATAAATACTTGTTTGCACACAAGTTATCAATACCCAGTCTCTGGCCTGCTCCATGGAAATTTAGCTGGTCTTACAGCCTGTCTATACAGAGGGCACGCAGACCACATTTTATTTTATCTCTAGTTTTTAACTTTCCAATCCACCCCCAACCCGACACCCAAACCCTTCCCCGCAACACACACACACACACAATGTTTAGAAGAAATGGCCATTAAGGACTGAGTCAGTTGCATAAGAGTTGGCTTAATCCCGCAGCCAGCACTTTGAGGGGCTACTGGCCTCACGGCAGGCCAGCTGAAGTTCCCTCCTGAAGCACACCCAGGAAAGGAAAAAAAGAGGATGCTGGAGGCCCAGGGCTCGAGTCCTGTGGAGGGGGGGAGAGGGGAGAAGGCCTCCACCGGCAGCCTCTCCCCTCTGTACAGTTGTCTCTGTAGCGCCTAAGGGCGGTAACATTCTAGACACTTCCTGTATGGACAGAAAACACATTCTAGCTATGCACAGTATAAGCTTATTTCCAACACAGGCCAGTACTCACAGAGACGCTCTGTTACACAGATTACCAGTTGTTACAAAGATCTGAAACATAACCAACGAAACTTATTTTATAGTAACAGTTGCTAAGGCAAGTAACCAACTTTGGCCTTTAATACAGGCTCCCCTTGACGTTTCTAAAACACCCCTCCCTACCCTTGTGCCCCCCAAAGGGCACCGAGGAACACTTGGGCACACCTGATCCGTATGGCTGCACATTAAGAAATGTGGTGTCGCTGCAATGCCGGGCTCCATGTTCCCAACGCTAATCTAGGACTCTTCCCATACAATCCAGTGTATCTGAGGTTTCTCATCATCTGTCAGCTGTTGAACAAATACAAATTGGCAGGTTCATGACAGATATTAACACTTAAACATAAAAGTAATCATGAATGAGCCTAAGAAAGCACTTTTAATTCTTATCCCAGGGGTTTGGGCTGAATTTACACAGAACATCTGCCACCTGAACAAACAGGCCGGGATCCAAATCCTTATACCATAATGGAACAAGGATCAATCATTTCCTCAGACTTGCCATGCCCATATGGGACAGTATTTAATCTGAACTGAGGAAATTAGCTCGCTTTAACGCTTGGGGTCTTCATGAATACACTTTCAAGAAGTGTCTCCAAGTCTAAACTCAAGTTTATAACTTGCTCTGAGGGAAGAGGGTATTTCTAAGAATAGCACATGGCATTTACTGGGAGCTCCTTCCCGAAGAGGAGGGGGTAGGGGGGAGGGCTGGGGGTGAAGCTTGAGGATGTCTGGGATCCTCTCCTATGTTAACACATTCCAGGCCGAGCTCTGGCCCTGAGAGAGAAGGAGCCCCTACCCCAGCCCACACCAAGCACACAACCTTGGTGATAATCTCTACAATTGATTTTAGAAGCATAAATCGAGCTCCTTGCCATTTAAGTAATAATGCAAAAGAGCCTTCTTGGTAGCTAGTCATAGCTGTTGCTAAAGCTCAGCTTTCCAAAACAAACATTCTTCTAGAAGCATGATTAAACAAAAAAAAGGAGTGAAGCGTAAGCTCAGTAACACTAACTGGGCTTCTAAATAGTACCATTATGAAGAGATACAATGCACTTATAATTTCTGTACCTAACTATTTAGAAGTCAAAATGCTCCATACATTACCTATATCCCCCGCCCCCCCAAGATCCCCTAAAAACTGACTAAGAAATCTCCAGTATTTGCTTGCTCTAGTTGATATTTAGAACAAAGTTGACAACTTAAAGCTTTATAATAGTCTGTTTTAATATAAACAAGTGTTGGAATCAATCAATCAATCAATGTCCATCTCAGGAAGCTTCTTGTCCGTGTCTGAAGGCACAGCCGTGTCTGCACCCTGCTCCGTGGCCCGAGAGCCGGGGTCGAGGTCTCCTTGTCCGTCCACTGGTCCATTCTGCTCAGTATTTTTCTGCTCCTCTTTCGGAGGTTCCACTTTGGGTTTGGGCTTTGAAACTATAGGACTACAAATACTTGTCAGCTCCTAGAATGTGAAGAGAGAAAAACCATAGTTTCTTAATCAATTAGTAAGTTTAACAAATGACAGGCTTCATTCACCCTTTCTGGCCAGATCCCAACCCCGTCTCCTACAGGGCACTGGAGGACTAGAGATCAAAATAATGCTGACAAGAAATGACAGTTCACTATTACCTTAATTTTAGCTTCAATCTCTTTTGTCTTTACAACGGGATCCACAGTCAGACTCTGCTTGTTCTGTAAATTCAGCCTGGTGTTCATCCACTCCATTGCCTCGTTCGTGCTTTTCTCTACCTTCGCTACATCGGCAGCATCCAAATGGTCGTACTGGTCCTCCTGCAAGCGCACAAGGTCAGGCAAGTGGTCATGGGTAATGTCTACCTGACCTACTCAGCATCTCTCAAACAGCTCAAGAATGATCGTGTGGCCTCATCATTGCAGAAGACAGTAAATATTCAAGAAAGGAATGGCCCTAATTTCTCAGACACTGAGGAAACAGATTTTAAGGGCAAGAAAAACATGTAAGGGGACAATTAAAAAGCTCCAATAGTGCAAATGGGTGTAGCTTTTACACAAAATCTTAGGAAAATAATGTCACATTGTAACAAGTTACTAAGATACCACAGGCATGCTAGTCTGGAACAAACACAATAATGAATACAATTTTTAAAAGGAGGCCTTTCACAAGCATAATTTACTGACAATCTATCAAAGCAGAGAGGGGTATCACTCAGTGGCAGTGTTTGCTGGGCTCAGGCTGTGACTGTACAGACTCCCTGGGGAGCCAGGGAGGGGACGAGAATATAGTGGAAAACAGAGAGGTCAGAACCCATACTATGTAGTCAAACTAGAGTTGAATTCCAGCTGTTCTGGCTCAGAATCTTGGGTCTCTTCACATTGGAAGTCACCCACATATGGTGACTCTAGCACCTACTCTTTTTTTTTTTGGGTCCGGTTGTGGGGCCTGAACTCTGGGCCTGGGCGCTGACCCTCAGCTCTTCAGCTCAAGGCTAGCGCCCCACCACTTGAGCCACAGCGCCACTTCCGGCTTTTTTCTTATGTGGTGCTGAGGAATCGAACCTAGGGCCTCGAGCATGGAAGGCAAGTGCTCTACCACTGAGCCACCTTCCAGCCCCCTCTAGCACCAACTTTACAAGGGCACTACAGGAGTCAAATATTCATGGAGTATGTTATAGAATACTCAAAATCCTTGTTAGGTAGTTTACAGTTGAGATAGTACTCCATCTGCGTAACAAACCACCTAAATTACAAGGCTAACATGTTCACAAGAAGTCCAGCACAGAACATGCTGCCTACTACAGAAGAAGCATTTTACAATAAAAAAAGGGAAATTATACAAATACTTCTCTAGGTAGAATTCTAGATTCCACCTATTAAAGAGAAACAGCAAATCCTATGGTTCTTGATACATCCATAAAAAACATTGCACATTACATTAAGAGAAAGTCTGCTAGGTAATATCATGAAATTTAATTCTGCAAATTAAGAGTAAGAATATATGACAAAAACAAAAACAAAAAACACCCTTACCTTGTTTTTGAAAGAGCTGATTACTTTCATATACTGTTGGATTTGTTTGCCTAGTTCTTCAAATAATTTTGGTCTTTCTTCAGATTCCTGAAACCGTGTCTTAATGGGTTGGCCTAAATTCTTAACAAAAGAGAGAATACATAAAGTCTTCCTAGGGTAAACATTTGAGGGTTGTACTATTTCTATTCTGACTAAATCTGGATATGAGCTAAAGTACATCTAATCTCCATAATTCATATGTGCATGTACACAACTCAAAATATGTTTCAAAATCCAAGCACTGGTAGCTCACACCTATAATCTTATTCAAGAGGCTGAGATTTGAAGATCACGGTTCAAGGCCAGCCTGAGAAGAAAAAGTCTGTGAAACATTTTGACTCCAATTAACCACCCAAAAAGCCAGAAATGACTTTGGTTTATTTATGTATTTATTTTTTGGCCAGTCCTGAGGCCTGAACTCAGGCCCTGGGCACTGTCCCTGAACTTCCTTTGCTCAAGGCTAGCACTACTCTACCACCTGAGTCACAGTGCCACTTCCAGCTTTTTCTGTGTACGTGGTACTGAGGAACTGAACAGAGGGCTTCATGCATTGCCAGCCCTTGAAGCTGTGGTTTAAGTGGTAGAGTGCTAGCCTGGAGTAAAAAAAAAAAATCAGGGATAGCAACCAGTTCAAGCCCTAGGACAAGCACCAAAAAATACAGTAAAATACAATAATAATAATAATAGTCTCCCCAGACTACTGGAAATCAAATGCTGCCACCGGCTGGGTAGAGTATGTGCCTCAACACTGCTTCCAGACTTCCTGAAGCAGTTGTCATGTGAGCCTTAGTTCTCAAAACGGGGGGGGGGGGGGGGGGGGGGGGGGGGGGGGGGGGCGGGAACGAATGGGTGACCAAAACTTACTTCCCTCCAAACAGAGATACACAATACTAAAGTTTATCTGGCAAAAACTTTTTAAATTAAAAATGAACAACACTTGAATGTGTCTGATGAAGCCTTTAGATCTAACCACCTCTCTTACTAGATAAGGTTAAAGACCACTATGGTGATAAAAAAACCAGCAAAACAGCATGGAAGAAGACTCTGTGGAACCAATGACCACTTCTTCAAGTACTCAGGGAAAAGGAAAAGCCACTCACACAGGTTCAGGGGACACATCAATAAATGTATACATTTTATTTGGATCCTGATTCAAGCAAACTAAAAAATAATCATTTACTGAACAATGGAACTTGAAAAATGAATAAAACAGTGACATTAAGGTGTGATAATGGTACAGTATAAAGCTGTGTTTTCTTTAAAAATACACACTGAAATGTTAATTGATTAAGTATCATTTAAATCATGAGATATTTGCTTCAAACAATTGGGGATGGTCTGAGAAGCAGAACAAGAATGAAACAAACGGGCTGGGAAGGTGGCTCAGTGGTAGAGCACTTGTCTTGCATTCATGAGGCCCTGGGTTCAATTCCTCAGCACCACATAAGCAAAAAGAAAAAAGCCGGAAGTGGCACTGTGGCTCAAGTGGTAGAGTGCTAGCCTTGAGCTGAAGAGCTGAGGGACAGTGCCCAGGCCCACAGTTCAGGCCCCATGACCGGACCAAAAAAATAAATAAATAAAAATAAAGAGCTGAGGGACAGCATCCAGACCCAGAGTTCAGGCTCCACGACCGGACCCCCCCCCCAAAAAAAAAAAAAAACTGGCCCAGTGACTAAAGCCTGTAGTGACCAAAGTCTCTCAGAGTGGACTCCTGACTACGTTTGCCAGGAAGATACATAGTACTATCCTTGAGTGACTCCACTCAAGAGGTCAGTCGCAATAGCCGTCTGGTACAAAGCCAGTAGCGATACAGGGCCAAGACTAAAGGGAAATGCACATCCTTGTGTACTTGCATCCCTTTTCAAACAAAAGCCCTCAAGGGTCAACAATAGTCTTCAAATACAAAACCGGATTCTTTGATCACGAATCAAAACTACATACAGGGTCACAGATTCCACATGGCTATTCTTTGTATCTCTAACCCCAAGAATGCAGGAAATTTTTAATTCAGTGGAATGCTGGAAATCAAAATCCAATTGACAGAGAAACAAGTAGTTATTATGAGACTCTAAAAGTGAAAATAACAATGAGCTTGTAACATAAAGAGTATTCTCTAAATCACAGATTTTACCCTGTGTTTTTTAACATGACATGAGAATCTGTTTCAGATGTATGCTACTTTTCTTGAAAACTACAAAGGTTTGGAGTATTTCTAGTCTCAAAGAGTCACTTACTTTTAACTCTGTCAATTTATCTACATAAACTTGCTTTGGCTGGTCTTCTCCATCTTCATACAACCAATTTTCAGTATCTTCTAATTTCAAGGTAAAACTGTTACGATCCTAAAGATAAGAAAACATAGTAAACAGATCAAAAATCAATTGACACCTGGTAGGTGGTACATTCCTGTAATCCTAGCATTCAGGAGGCTGAGGCAGGGAGAACTCAACTTTGAGGCCAGCTGGACAACACAGCTATCTCCAAAACCTAAAAATTCACAATACACAGAATGCATCGATTTTTCTGGAATTTGCTTTAAAATTAATGTAACAAAGAAATAGATGATATAAAAAAACAAGGCTGGAAATGGTGTTTTGTTTTTTTTTTTTTAACAAGGTACAGGTTATTTGTATAGTATTATTTATGCTAGAAGGAACTTGGATTGCATTTGAAGATTTCAAAACTAAAAATTCCAGTTAAAAGTTAAAAAGCCAGGCTGGGAAGGTGGTCAGTGGTAGAGTGCTTGCCTTGCACACACGAGGCCCTGGGTTCGATTTCTCAGCACCACATAAGCAGAAAAAGCTAGAAGTGGCACTGTGGCTCAAGTGGTAGAGCGCTAGCCTTAAGGTGAAGAGCTCAGGGACAGCACCCAGGCCCAGAGTTCAGGCCCATTGATCAGCAAAAAAAAAAAAAAAAGTTAAATGCCAGAGTCAGACACTTACAGGTGACGCACAACCTGTATGTAATCTTAGCTATTCAGGAGGCTGAGATCTGAGGATCACAGTTCAAAGCCAGCCTGGGTAGAAGTCTGTAAGATGCTTATCTCCAATAAACTACTCAAAAACAGTCAGAAGTGGTACTGTGACTCAAGTGAGAAAGAGCTAGCCTTAAGCACAGAGGAGAGACAGTGCCCAGGCCCCAAGTTCAAGCCACAAGACTGGCAAAAATAAAGTTTAAATAAATAAATAAAAGTTAACGCCAGTGACTCAAGTTGTAACCTAATGGTAGAGTACCAAGTTCAAAACCCAATTGTGGAAAGAAAAAGCAATAAAAATAAAACAATAAAAGCTGGGGATTAATGGCTTATACCTGTGCCATCTACTGGGGAGATTGAGATCAGTGCAAACCCAGACAAAAGGTTCAAGAGAATCCCCCCATCTCAACAGACAGGTCTGGGCACATATGGGGCACTTGTGGCTCACACCTATAATCCTAGCTACTCAGATGGCTGAGCTCTGAAAATCAAAGTTAAAAGCTAGCCCAAGCAAAAAAGTCTTTGCAACTCTAATCTCTTAATTAAGTAGCAAAAATCTGGAAGTGAAGGTGTAGCTTAGGTGCCAACCCTAAATACGAGAGTGTGAGGCTCTAAGTTCAAGCCCCAGTACCATGCACACACAAACATATACACAAAGGTTGGGGCACAGTGGCACACGTCTATCATCCAGCTATGAAGTATTAAGAGGATCATATTTCGGGCCACCCTAGAAAGCTAAGACTAAAGCAAAACATGGACTAGAGACATGGCTTAAATAGAATCCTTGCTTGGCAAGTTCCATAGCAACAACAACAACAACAACAAAAAAAAACCACCGCATAAACAGCACTCAAATATGTCAAAAAATGGTATATAAAGTGATGCATGGGGCAGAGGCAGTGGCTTACCCTACAATGCAAACCATCCAGGAGGCAGATTGGAGGACTGAAGTTTGAGACCAGCACAGTCAAAAAAATTAGCCAGGGGTTGGGAGTGTGTTTCAGTGGTAGAGTGCTTGCCTAGCATGCATGAAACCATGGATTTGATTGCTAAGTACCACTTAAACAGAAAAAAGCCAGAAGTGACTCTGTGGCTCAAGTGGTAGAGTGCTAGCCTTGAGGGAGGGGGGAAAAAAATAAAAACACCCAAGGATAATGCCTAGGCCCTGAGTTCAAGCCCCAGAACTGGCCCCCCCACAAAAAAAATTAGCCAGACCTCACCTCAATCAGTAAAACCCCAGAACTGGCCAAAAACAAATTAGCCAGACCTCATCTCCATCAGTAAAACTGTGGTGGTGCACAACACCCCTGTGATCTAGGAGGCCTGGGTAAGGAGAAGTGCAATCCAAGTCCAGCCCTGGGTAACAACTCAAAACTCTACTTAAAAATTAACTGAAGCCAAAAGAGGGCTGAAGGTATGAATTAAGTGGTCTAGGAAACTGAAGCCCTGAGTTCAAACCCGAGTACCACCCCCAAAAAGAAAAGGAAACTAATACACTAAAACTAACCTATGGGAAATACTACAAAAAAAAAAGATACTAAATAAACTATAGGGCTGAAGAGAGGGGTATGATTCAAGTGTTATTGGTTGCCTAGCAAGCACAAGGCCTTGAGTTCATATAAACTACCCCCATAAAGGTACATACACATAGACTAAAATTCCCTAACACAGTTCTAGATGCTTCTAGAAGACACAGCTTACACTGTAGCCACACTTACATCTTCACTCACAAACTTCTCATATTCACCACCAAGCTTGTCTCTCATTTCGTACACATATTCTTCCACGGCGTTTTTGGCATCATTACGCTCCTTCTCCAGTTTGTCCTGCATGATCATCTTACCCTAGGAAGAGCAACGACATAAGTAAAGACAACTACAACAATTTCCTATTGAAGTACTTACAAAATAACCAGTGTAACTTAAAAGTACAGAAGCATTCTTCCCTAAATCCTTTTAGTTCTGTGAATCCCCTAACAAAGATAAGCTGGAAGACTAATTAATCAACAAATGGTAATGGTCAAGGAGAGTTTGAGTGGGTTTAGGAAAAACTGATACTCAAGATACAAAAAAAAAATCAAGATACAAAAAAGAAAGACTACTGATATATTCTGCTGTATTATTTTGAAACACCAAGAAAAATTGAATTTATTCACAGTGTAAATGCTAAAGGCCTGTAAAACAAAATTATTTTGAGATGGAGCAGGTAATTCAAATAATGCTACCATTAATGTAATGTTCTTTTTCCTACTGATCCACTCCCATGACCCACCCACTTCAAGCACCCTCAAGTCTCTAGTGAACACCACCATCCCTAAGATAAAAATAACACTGTCAGACATCTTACCACAGGGTTTCTGGCAATCAGACATTAATGTTAGTAGTGCTATAAAGAATTTGGGCTTTCCATAGAATCTATTTCTTATACTATCCTTATTGCCCAAATACCTAAATTATTTTCTCAAAGCCCAAACTAGCAAAAAAATGCATGGACACAACTAGACAAGAATCTGATTATAATCATACTATTTTGTGCCAACACACTGAAAAACAAACCTCATTTTCAATGTACAAGTTGAGCATCTCTCGGTCTATCTGCCACAATAGCTGATTCTCAATTGGCAGGTCCACAGTACTGGTCTTCACTTTTGCCTTCTTGGCTTGAGGGGGTTGGTCCGTCTTTTTGTCTTTTGATCCAGCTTGAGAAGTCTGAAATTTAAAACAATCATTAAAAACAAAACATATAGGCTAACTTGAATTTCAAAATGGGTCAAATGTCAAAAGCTACTGTGGTTCCCAATGATCTAAATAACTCGTAACTATACTAACTCAATTATAAATATGATACAAAGGATGCAAGAGTTAAGCTCAGAAATGGAAATGTGGTTATCAGGGATTGGGAAAGGGGAAACGGGGAGTTCTTTCACAGGTATAAAGTTCCATTGTGCAAAAATAAAGTTCTAAAGATCAATCATACTGCAATATACAGATACTTTAAAATGTAACCTTTGTTGTATGCATTTTGACACAATTAAAATTTTTAATTTGATTTTTTTATTGTGAGAATACCCTACAGAGGGGTTACAATTACGTGGGCAAAGTAAAGAGTACATTTTTTTCTTTTTGGGTCGGTCGTGGGGCCTGAACTCTGGGCCTGGGCCCTGTCCCTCAGCTCTTCAGCTCAAGGCTGGCGTAAAGAGTACATTTCTTATCAAGCATTGTTGCCTCCTCCTTTGTTTCCCCTTCCCATCTCAACCCCTCCCCATGACGCTCCCGCCCCAACAATTAAAATTTTTATAACATTATATACATAGCAACTCCTGCAAACCCACAACCAACACACAATCACTATTTTTACGTTTTAGAGCCGGGAGCTGGTAGCTCACACCTGTAATCCTAGCTACTCAAGAGGCTAAAATCTGAAGATTGCAGTTCAAAGTCAGCCTGGGCAGGAAAGTCCAATCAACCCCCAGAAAACCAAAAATGGAACTATAGCTCAAAGTAGTAGAGTGCTAGCCTTGAGTGCAAAAGCTCAGGGTATGTCCAGGCCCTGCATTCTAGGTCCACAACCAACAAAAAAACAAAAAACAAAAAATTTTAGGCTGGAGATTTAACTCAGAGGCAGAGTAGGTGTCTAGCACTCCCGATGCCCTGGGTGCTATCCCCAGCACAGGAAAAAAATAAAACTTTTGTCTTCCTTTCTCATCTAAACACAGGTATGCATATGAAATCAGTGTGGAGAGGGTATCACAGTGTGATCTCTATTATGTCTATAGTTATGCACATTTCCACAAGGACTGAGATCCCATTTACCTGACATAAATGCACAGATGAGAAGGCACTGACCTTTATCCCTTGCTACACATTCTATTCTTCAAAGTGTCTACTCATACACTATGCAGTTTTCTTTGGGTTTTAGTGATTTCTTTCCCCACAACTAATTATGTCTTAGTTTTTTCAAATTTTATATTTTTGTCTCTACAAGTTTTCATCACTTCTTCTATGCTTGTCAAGCCTTTCCTTGTACACTAACTCAAAAAAATACTTACATTTTTTGACAAAAACCTTACTATATAGCCTAGACTTATAGTATAGTCTAGGCCATAGCCTTCTTGTTGGAATTACTGGTGTATCCAACCATGCCCAGTCTCATTTCATTTAGAAACAAAACTAAGAAAGGCACTTCTGCTCCTAATCCACCCCATGGATCAGGACAGGAAACTTTCTATGGCTCCCGAGCATGGCGAAGAGGGCTTGGGCATGAGGTCTTGTGATTCTTTCTCATTCACCTATACACACTGACCTATACAGAGTTCCTACTCTCTCCCAAGTTGAATGGTTTTCCATCTTGGAAAACTCCAAGGCAACTAACAGAATCTGCAAGCACAATCTCTTTAGTCCATTTCTTTGTTGGGGGACGACGGGGTTTGGCAGTGCTAGGATTTGTATCAGGGCCTTGAACTTGCTAGGCAGGCCCTCAACTGATAAGCCATGTTTTCAGGTATTCTGAACTTTTTTTCTTTGCTAGTACTGGGGTTTGAACTTAAGCCCTTGCACTCCAGCTTTTTCACTCAGCTGGTGCTTTACTACTTGAGCCAAACCACACTTGCTGTTCTGGCTTTTTGCTGGCTTACTGGAAAAAAGTCTTAAACAGATTTGTTTGCTCACACTGTCTTGTAACCTTAATCCTCAGAACTCTTTTCTGAATGGCTATTTTTTGTTTGTTTTGGTACCATTCCTGGGCTTGAACTCAGCCTGGGCACAGAGCCCAAGTTGCTCACTGGAACCACGCTACCCTTTTGGCATTTTGGTAGATAAATGGAGGCATGAGTTTCATGGACTATCCTGCCTGGATTAGCTTTGAACCATAATCCTCACCACTGGCACCTAGCCTTTCTTCTTTTTGAATATTACTTGCCCAGCTAAAGGAAAGCAAGTAAAAATCTTGTTTGTGGACATGAAAATGGATAACATGTTTTAGCAACCTTAAGGCTCTGCCAATTTTGTTGAACACCACAATGAGAAATTCCTAAGAGCCTGAGATTATACACTGCAACTGAAGAACAGTCTCAAATAACTAATGCAGGGGGTTGGGCTCAACAGTAGAGCCTAATAAAAATGCAAGGCCCTGAGTTCAAGTGCCTCAGTTCTAGTACTGCCTATCCCGCCCCCAAAAGGGTTGAAAATATTCAAAAATGTTACACATTAACTTTAGCATGTATCAGCTACTTAAATATAGTCAGTATTTCCAGTCTTTCAACAAAAAGACATGAGGAAGGCAGTTCACAGACTCTGAAGAAAAAAAATCTTAATTCTCAATAGTATCAAATAAACTATGATGGTGTCTCAGCTACAGCCACCAAGAAACCAGCATGAACCATTCACTTAACCTAGCACAACTAAGGCCTCCAAGTGCTGTCCTCCCATCCACCAACCAGAACAACTGAAAAAACATCTCACAAAAATGCCCTTCCCAAATACACTACAGAATCGTGCTAAAAATTTTCTAAATAACAAAGTACAACTACCTTCCAAGGCATATCCTCCTCAGTCAAAATCTTGCACAGTACTACTGCCTTATTGGCAAAAAAATAAAAATAAAAATGGGGGTGGGGGAAGGGTCGGTCATAGGGCCTGAACTCTGGGCCTGGGCACTGTCCCTCAGCTTTTCAGCTCAAGGCTAGCACTCTACCACTTGAGCTACAACACATTTCCAGCTTTTTCTGTTTATGTGGGGCTGAGGAATCGAACCCACGGTCTCATGCATGTGAGGCAAGCACTCTACCACTAAGCCACCTTCCCAGCCCCATTATTGGCAAAATTCTTACAGGCAGTTTTGACCAAGCATGGTTTAAAAAGAAAAAAGAGAAATTTCAAAGGTTTTAAATTCTTACGCACATGCTCTGCAGTTCAGCTGCCATGTAGCTCTCTGCCCCACATTATCATTGTGTCATCTGATGCTTGTTTGCCTCCCTTTAAATTTTGTGCACATATCCTCCCCAAAAAAGCAACTGCAAAAGTATGGCAATCCTTTCAAGTCAAAGAGGGGACATCATGTAGTAGTTTAACCAATAAAGGAAAAATTGTAGATTATTACCAGGTGTGGTAGCTCATGCCTGTAATCCTAGCTACTCAGAAGGCAGAGATCTGAGGATCATGGTTCAAAACCAGCCCGGGCAAGAAAGGCTGTGAGACTCTTATCTCCAATAAACCACCAGAAAACCAGAAGTGAAGCTGTGGCTCAAATGGTAGAGCACTAGCCTGTAAGAGCTGAGGGACAGTGCCCAGGCCCAGAGTTCAAGCCCCATGACAGACAAAAAAAAAAAAAATTGTTGAAAGATGACTAAAATTAAAAATAATGTGGTGGAAGCTGGACACATACCCCTAGTACATACCTAACTATGCACCCAGGGCATTCAGTTTTTCCCAACTAGGAATTTTCTTGGAACCACATACATTCCCACAGGGCCTACTACATATGAAAAGTCTCAATCATAACAACTCATACCTCCATTTCTTCGGACTCTGCCTTATTTTCTGCTGGTGTCTGCTGCTGTTGCTCTTCCACATGTGGTTCTTCCTGGTCCACTTGCATCTTCTGAAAAATAGGTCAAATTAAATCCTGGGAAATGCAAGAAGTCTAAACCGCCTTCATGACATACCGACAAAGTCAGATGGTATAGAATTCCTGCTCAAGAACCAGCACTCAGAATACCTAGGCTCAAATTCCACCTATGGAATATACTACCTGGAACACAAAGTTTCCATTCTTAGATCAACTAATATATAATCTGTATGAAGAGAGTAACAGTTGCCCCACACATATATTAGGGTGACCAGAGAACTGTTGTATAAACTACAGCACTCAAGAGTACCCCAGGGCGGCATTGTTCACAATCTACAAAATACAAACTCAAGATTGCATGAATTTCTCCAAGCTACCTCACAAGCAATTTCTTTCAAGAGTCTTAACTTTTCCAAGCAATTCCTACACCTGCATTTTCAGCCTTAAAAAGTACAGCCACTGCATGCATTGAGGAATGTGAACACACTGAAGAGTTCTCTTAACAGCAATAATGAGGTTTATGGAGAGGGTGAAGGCTCCCAACACCTGAAATTTATATGAATACCCGAGTACTTTGAACATTGTTAATGCTGATATCAGAACACTTCAAACAAAATCTGAATATAAGATCCATCTTAGTTTAAGCTTTGAACAAGAGCATAATATGAATCACTACAAATGAGTAAGCAATTTATTCTATTTGTTAAAAAAAATAAAGACACAAGAGTGTTCTTCTATAACAAGAATCAATTTCCACAAACTATAAAAATGGCTCAACACACTGGAGTAATTAGACGTGTATAAACCTACTCTCAGCAGCTCAGTCTACCTGCTATCACATCTAGACAAGTCACCTGAGGCCAATATATATGATATAAAATAACCAGATTACCTCTTCCTCCTTTGCATTTTGATCAGTTTCCATAGGTTCCTCATTTTCCTCAGACTTGTGCACTTCCACTAGGGATGCACTGGACACACTGAAAATGCCATGAACATTTACTCGAACCTTGACTTTCACTTTTGAACTGGAGCCATCAGACTGGGGAGTGACTTTCTGAACTGAAAACTGAGCTAGGGACATGAGAGATACAAGAGAACAGTAAGAGGATGAATTCAAACATGAATACATGCTCACACTGCCAGGTGATGTTCAGTGACAGATCAGTAACACAACACTTCAAATGAACAAAGTGAGCATTCATCCCTAGAATGTTCCTGAGTCATCATCCGATTCCTCTCACATATAGTCAAGCTCATCCTGTTCCAACAAAGGGCTCATATATCCCAATTTCCTTTGCCTCCAGTTCCTTATTTCATCTTTATTTGCTATGATAAGCTTCCTGCAACACAGACATGTCATATTCTTATCTACCTGCTTTTATCATTACCAAGAAACTACCATTTCTAGATTGTTACTATGCCAGGGTTCTATTTATGTTGAATTCCCACAATGCTGCAACTGAATTACCATGCTATTCCATGAGGAAAGCAGAGGTTAACTTTTTTTCCACAGCTTATACATATCAGTGAAAACACTTCCAGTTCTTTATCCAAAAAGTATAGATCTTTTATTACATAACTGTAGTTTTTTCTTCTCATCTGGCAATAATTCCAGAGTCTATACATATAAAGATTTCAAAACCTAGAACATACTAACCTAACAAACTGCTAATGATTTTGTATGTGCACCTTGCAACTATATGTTAAAAGTCAAAACTGATTTAACTCTTCTACACACCGTCAAGCACCACCTTATGCACAAAGTATAACCATTCAGAGAAATACTACATGTACAGTTGGAGGCTCAATTAAGTAACAATCCCGCTATTTCTGAACCTGGTAGTTAAGAATGGAAGAGATTTTCTTTTGTGGCCTAAAAAAAAAGCCTAAATTTTAGAATACCACATTTTTTTTTCAGGGGGGGTGTCCAGTCATGGGGCCTGAACTCTGGGCCTGGGCACTGTCCCTCAGCTCTTCAGCTCAAGGCTAGTGCTCTACCACTTGAGCCATAGCGCCACTTCCTGCTTTTTTCTTTTTGCTTATGTGGTGCTGAGGAATCGAACCCAGGGCCTCAGGCATGCAAGGCAAACGCTCTATCACTGAACCACCTTCCCAGCCCAGAATACCACATTTTTTATTGCTGCCCATTCATTTCTCCAAATAGATGCAAAGTTTTGCTATTATTATATTACTTCAATTTCCAATTCAAATCATTTTTTATTTCTAACTCTTCTTACCTATAGCAGGGTCTGGATAGGGCAAATCCTGAGGAGAGCTGTAATAAGCCTCAAGAGTGAAAGGCTCCTTTCTATAAAATGTGAGAACTTTAGAGAAAGGAGCAGCATGATTTTTTGGGAAGACTTCACAATCACTAAAAGGAGGAAAAAGACAAAAATCATTCAAAATTCAAACATCTAAGACTTGGTAATTACTGTATAACTCAGTCTTCTCTAATGACATTATTTCTAGATTTTAAGTGTCCCAAAATACTCTCTTCTCTAAGTAAAAAAAGAAATAAACCCAATCAGCACAAAAAGACATAATAGCAGTAAGACCAAGTATAGGAAATCAGGGCATAAAATTAACTATTTTGCCAAAATATTTCAGAGTTGTGTACGGTGGAGGACAATTTATTACTCAGACTTAACACTGAATTAACTAAGTATACAAATGATAAGTAAATGTATTACCTTGATCCTTCTTCAGCTGGTGAATTCCATCTCAGCGATATTGGATATGCTACCACATCGGTGATAGAAAATTCTCTGACTTTGAAAGCAGGCGATAAGATTGCACACTAGAATGACAATTTTTGCAAATTTCATTTGCAAGTGGACACTAAATGAACCAATATCACTACCATCATGATTTTAAGACACCATCACTGAGGATAATCTTTAAATATTTACATTAATGACTTAATGGTGTCAGTCTAACTTTTGTTGCAATGATATAAGAACAAAAGAAAACTTACCTGCAGTGCACAGCCTCGAGTGACCGCTTCATCAGCATTTAATGTTGTACTAAGCTCTTTACCAAAAAATTTACTGATCTTCTCTTTCACTGCAGGGATTCGTGTGGCACCACCAACAATCTCTACTGCATAAATGTCTTCTTTCTTTAACTCTATATTTAAATAATTAGACATTTAGGGCCTGATGATAGCTCAAACCTGTAATCCTAGCTACTCAAAAGGCAGATATGGAGAGGGAATCCATAAGACATTATTAGAAAAATAACTAAAACAAAATGGGGCTGAGGGTATGGGCTCAAGTGGTAGAATACGCACTTAGCAAGTCCAAGGCCTTGAGTACAAACCCTAGTACCACCAAAAAAAACCCACACATAATTAGAAATTTAGATTTAAAAATTTTTGATGCTGGGTACTAATGGCTCCCATTTCTCATCCTAGCTACTCAGAAGGCTGAGATCTACATAATCTCAATCTAGCCCAAACAAAAATGCCCACGAGACTATCTCTAACCACCAAAAATCTGGGCTAGAGGCATATTCAAACCTTAGAACTGACAAGAAATAAGGTTATAGCAAAATAACTCCGACTATATAACTCCTCATCCCTCATTCCCTACTCCAAGATTTTATATGCATAGACATAGAAGTGCTTGTTTTGATTCTCAAGTTATAGGAAGGGAGGGGAGGCACATAAATAGGATTTTAAGGCCAACAATTTATGTCCTATGGTATACAGAACTGGCACAGTCCTACAGAAGGAATTATTATAAACATCAACTAGCTGAACATTTAAGTATGCTGTACCAGAAAGAAGAAGGCTTTCACAACCCTGACCTGCCATGAAAGAGAAATATTCAGTTTTACCACTAGACATTCCAGTATTTTATTCACAAAATACATAGTATACAGTTCACATTAAAACACAGGTACTCATGAGAAGGTAAGGAGGTACGTTACCAAGGCTCCACTTTTCATCACTAAATACAAACTTAATACTGCTTGTTTTCATAGTCACACTTTATCATTATCAACCACTACTTCTATTTCTTGAGAAGAATTAAAGATGGGAGATAAATCAGGCACAGTGGTGGGTGCCTGTAATTCCAGCTATTCGGGAAGGTAAGACATCAGGATTCCATGAGCCCATGAATTCTACATGACTCTGGGCAATGAATGTACTGAGACTCTTTCACAAAAGATAAAAAATAGGAGAATGGGGGCATAGGACAGGAAAACGCGAATATCTGTCATTATCACTTTGAGCTTTTTGTTTTGTTTTTATTGGTTGTGGGGCTTGAACTCTGGGCCTGGGTGCAGGCCCTCAGCTCTTCAGCTCAAAGCAAGCGCTTTACCATTTGAGCCATAGTGCCACTTTGATTTTCTGGTGGTTTATTAGAAATAAAGACTTTTATTAGAAATAAGACTTTCCTGCCCAGACTGCTTTGAACTATAATCCTCAGATCTCAGCTTCCTGGGTAGCTAGGATTACAGGCATGAGCCACCGGCTCACTTTGAACTTTAAAACCCAAGCCTGGGCTGGGAAGGTGGCTCAGTGGTAGAGTGCTTGCCTTGCATGCATAGGGCCCTGGGTTCGATTCCTCAGCACCACATAAGCAGAAAAAGCCAGAAGTGGCGCTGTGGCTCAAGTAGTAGAGTGCTAGCCTTGAGCTGAAGAGCTGAGGGACAGCGCCCAGGCCCAGAGCTCAGGCCCCATGACTGGCAAAAAAAAAAAAAAAAAACCCAAGCCTATGTTGAGCTAACGCTGTATCTCAACACTCATTAAAACAAAAGCAACCAACAACAGTATATTCTAGGAAAACATTTTGTTCAAGAAGATTAGAAAAGTGATGTATTCTGAAATTAAAAGGCTACCTTCTAGCTGAAGACAAAACTGAAATATCCTGATAAAGAAGTGTCTATCATACCTTCCTTTTGCTGTATATTGTCTTTCAGCTAACCAAGGATTCACAGACAGAAAAAAATTACAAGACCACTACAACCCAACTGAAAATAGAACTGTAAGCAAATAATTCAAAAGTTAGTATCTGAATGATTTTGTTGTTGGTGGTGGTGGTGGAGCTTGAACTCTGGGTCTGGGCACTGTCCCTCAGCTCTTCAGCTCAAGGCAAGTGCTCTACCACTTGAGCCACAGCACCCTTCAGGTTTTTTGGTGGTTTAAGTTTTCTGGTGGAGATAAATTTATGGGCTTTCCTGCCCAGGCTGGCTTGGAACCATGATCCTCAGATCTCAGCCTCCTGAGTAACAAGGATTACAGGCGAGAGCCACTGGCGCCTGGCCCTGAATGATTTTTAGTCTTTTTTTTTGTGGGGGGGGGGAAGACGGGAGGTCGTGGGGCCTTAACACTGGGCCTGAGTGCTGTCCCTCAGCTTTTCACCTCAAGGCTAGCACTCTACCACTTGAGACCCAGCGCCACTTCCGGCTTTCTTTTTGCTTATGTGGTGCTGAGGAATCGAACCCAGGGCCTCAGGCATGCAAGGCAAGCGATCTACCACTGAGCCACCTTCCCAGCCCCCCCGAATGATTTTTTTAGCATCCTTATAAGATTGCCTTGGAGAGCAGTAGCACCCAAGAGGAAAGAAGTATAACATGGAAATGAAGCTGACAAAACTGATACTATAAAACTGTATGAATTGGGGGAATAATAAATAATATTCTCCAAAGGATGAGAGATACACAAATGATGTCATCACAAAATACTTACTGGCTTGTTCTAAGACACTGCGAAGTGGTGGCTCCACCCGAGCCAAGAGATCATCACACATCTCCAGAAATTTGCCTCTATAAACAGAAACAATAGGATAGATCACAATTCATGTCTATGTAGAGTATACGACTAATTTTATCACAGTGTTGGCATGAATGTAGAAAACTTGGACCCCTACCTACATTCCTGGGTAATGTAAAATGAAAATGAAGTTTAGCAGATCCTCAAAATGTTAAACCTGAAAGTTATCAAAATATTCAGTAATTTCACTATAGATTTGCAACCAAAAGAATGGAAAATGTAGCCTGGCGCCGGTGGCTCAGGCCTGTAATCCTAGCTACTCAGGAGGCTGAGATCTGAGGATCGCGGTTCAAAGCCAGCCTGGGCAAGAAAAGTCTGTGAGACTGTTATCTCCAATAAACCACTAGAAAACCGGAAGTGGCGCTGTAGCTCAAGTGGTAGAGCGCTCCCCTTGAGCTGAAGAACACAGGGCAAGCGCCCAAGCCCAGAGTTCAAGCCCCAAGACCGACAAAAAAAAAAAAGAATGGAAAATATTAAGTTCATGCAAAAACACCTAACATGAATGCTCAAGAGCAACATTATTCATATAGCCCAAAATGCATTCAACTCAAATGCTTATGAACTGCAATTCAGTAACAAAAAGAAATAAATTCAAATAAAAAGGAATTGACAGATGTCACATGTGAATGAACCACACACAAAAAAAACATACTAAATGGAAGTCAAAAAACAAAAAACAAACAAAAGACACCTATTATTCCATTTACATGTTCTAGATAGGCAAATCAGAGACAGAAAATTGATTAGTACCCCTGCCTAGTTTGGGGTAAGGAAGAACTAAAGAAAATAGCTAATAGAACTTTTTCACACACACACCTCACTCTTAGTCCAGTTCCTCTATTAACAATTGTTTGTCTTAGTGTGGTGCATTTGTTATCAGCAATAAACTGATACTGATACTGAGTATAGTTTCTCCTAAGGCTCTAATGGTTTTGACAAATGCATTAGGATCTACAGTATTTTCACTGTCTGTGAAGTTCTGTGCTTTGCCCATTCATCCCTCCCTCCTCTTCCAAACTCCTGGTAACCACTGAGCCTTTCATTCTACTGACCCGTTTACTATCTCCATAGTTTTGCCCTATTCAGAACATTATGTGGGTTTCGAAAGAAACTGAAAAGTTAACAACATGTACTTAAGTCTCTTGCACATCTTCTCATCACCTGATGGCTCATTTAGGACTTCTTTGTGAAGCAGGATAATGCTCTAAAATTGAGCTGTATGATGGCTGCACAGCTCTGTGAATATCCTAAAAAATTACGAAATTATACCATTTAAGGGTAAATGCTCCAAATTACATCTCAATAAAAAGAAAAATGATCAAGTATAAAATATTCCCAATAGAATGGCAAAGATTGCTAATACCAACAGCAATCAGAACTTGTATACACTGGGAGTTTAAACTAATGCTTTATAGAGATGAAAACAGTTAAGCCTACAGTGACAGTAGTCAGCAACACAAATACCTGAGGAATGATATGTGACTAAATGACTCTCACAAAGTGTTAGGTTACTTGAGTTAAAGAAATCTCACACAGAGACTACATACTGTAAGATTCCTTTAAAAGAAGTCATTATAATAAATTGAATCTATGATCAAAAAATAAAACTATCACATCAGTGGTTACTTCTACAAATCAAGACTAAGGAAACCTTGCCAAGACACTGGTATATTTTGCAATGTTAAGGTTAATCACAAAGGTATATGCATTATTTGAAAATGTCCCCAATTATTAAAAACAGAAAGAAAATTCCTCAATTCTATCCCTAAATTCTATCCTTAAGTATTGGGAAAACAGCAACAACAAAGAGTTCCCAATGAAAACCATAAAAAAGGAGATTTGAGAAAGATGGTAGCAGAGGTTGTAGGGTTTCCTGAGGAAAATAATTCACATGTTATAGAATTTACCCACTCCAAGAGTACAAGTTAATAACTTTTAGTATCAGAGTTAAACAATATCACCACAATGTTTCAAAGCATTTCCAATACTCTACAACAATTTTTTTTTCATTATCCTCAGCTATTACACCCAACTCCACCTTCATACATATTACACACTGCAACAAGCCCACAGTATCAGGCAACAACGAATCTACCTTTTGTCTTTACAGACTTCCCTATTCTGTATGTTTCATGTGCAGTATTTGGTCCTTCACAACTGGCTTCTGTTATTAGCATGGTTTTCATGGTTCATCCTCAATTTAGTATATATCTATACTTTACATTAATTGTCAAATAACTATCCATTAGATGCAGCAAAATGGGCTCATTCTAAAGTTCTTTTCAAAGGAAAAGAGGACTAAGTCTTTATATAAAAACCAAGGGCTGAGTATGTGGCTCAAATGGCAGAGCACTTGCCTAGACCTAAGTTTAAACCCTAATACCATTAGGGAAAAAAGGAAGAAGAAAGAAACAAAACCCAAGCAGGGCGCTGGTGGCTCACGCCTGTAATCCTAGCTACTCAGGAGGCTATGATCTGAGGATCGCAGTTCAAAGCCAGCCCAGGCAGGAAAGTCCGTGAGACTCTTATCTCCAATAAACCACTAGAAAACCGGAAGTGCTGTGGCTCAAGTGGTAGAGCGCTCATGTTGAGCTAAAGAGCACAGGGACAGTGCCCAAGCCCAGAGTTCAAGCCCCAGGACGGACCAAAAAAGAAGAAAAAAACAAACAAAATCCAAACTGAGTGGTATAATTGCAAAAAGATGAAGAAAGGTATATGGCAGGAAAAACAGAGTGCAGAATGTTAAGCACACATTTTTAATAATTTACAAAAATAAGAAAAACTTGGTTTCAGGTCTAGTTATTTCATCTGAAACTGCGCAAAAGAATAAACTGTCAGGTGCCACTATGTCATGTGTGTCATCCTAGCTACTCAGGTGGCTGATATCTGAGGATCCCAGTTCAAAGTTAGCCAAGCAAGAAAGTCCCTGAGACTCCTAACTCTAATTAACCAGCAGAAATAGACCTGTGGCTCAAATGGTAGAGCACCAACCATTAGTAAAAAAAAAAGCTGAGGGACAGGACTGGGAAGGTGGCTCAGTGGTAGAGGGTTTGCCTTGCATGCCTGAGGCCCTGGGTTTGATTCCTCAGCACCACATAAGCAAAAAGAAAAAAGCTGGAAGTGGTACTGTGGCTCAAGTGGTAGAGCGCTAGCCTTGAGCTGAAGAGCTGAGGGACAGCGCCCAGTCTTTGAGTTCAAGCCTCAGGACCAGAACCAAAAAAGCAACAATCTAGAGACAGAAGCATATTGACAGGTGCTTCAGATTTGGAGAGAAATAGGTGCTACGTTTCTTTGGGGGTGATAAAAAAAATCCCATAATTAGCAAGTGACCAAAGTTAAGTAATTGTATAAATATACTAAAAACTTAATCATATGTACACTTTATTTTTATTTATTTTTTTGCTAGTCCTGGGCACTATCCCTGAGCTGCTTTTGCTCAAGGCTATCACTCATCACTTGAGCCACAGCACCACTTCTGTTTTTTTCTGTTTATGTGGTACTGAAGAAATGAACCCAGGGTTTGATGCATGCTACGCAAGCGCTCCACCACTAAGACACATTCTCAGCCCTATATGTACACTTTAAAATGGCAAATTTTATGATAGGGAAAGTCTGTCTTAATACAAAGAATAATACAAGAAATGCAACAAAAAATTAAAAAATTTAGAAATTAGAAACAAATGTCAAAAAGAGGCTGGAAGCCATAAAGTAAAAGTATAACTCAAGTAGAGAGGACCAGCGGTGAACAAAAAAGCCAAGAAAGAACACAAGACCCTGAGTTCAAACCCTAGTAAAAGAATTAAAAAATGAAATGCCTTATCTGGGCACTAGTGTCGCTCCCCTGTAATCCTATTCAGGAGACAGAGTTGAGGGTGGCAGTTCAAGACAGCCCAGGCAGATCAGTCCGTGAGACTCCAATGAACTACCAGAAAACTGGAAGTGGCCCTGTGGCTCAAAGTGGTAGACTTAGGGATAGCCTCCAGGCCCTGAGTTCAACCAACAACAACAACCATAAAAAAAAAAAACTAGTTATAACTGAACTGGGATGATAAAAAAAAAATCTAAAATAACGAGTGCTGCTAGAAATGTGAAAAAGTGGAGCCCTTATGGGTTGTTGGTAACAATGTATTGCAGCAGGCGCCAGTGGCTCCTGCCTGTCATCCTAGCTACCCAGGAAGCTAAGATCTGAGAACTGCAATTCAAAGCCATCCCAGGCAGGAAAGTCTGTGAGACTCTTATCTCCAATGAACCACCAGAAAATTGGAAGTAGTGCTATGGCTCAAGTGGTAGAAGGCATACCTTGAGCTGAAGAGCTCAGGGCCAGCACTCAGGCCCAAGAATTCAAGCCCCATAAATGACCAAAAAAAAAGTATCAATTTTGGTGATTACTCAAAGTTAAACAATGAATTATTCCAGGAACCAAAATTAATTCTACTCCTGAGTAGTCACTTAAATGAACTGAAAACAGATATTCAAACAAATGTTTGTCCACAAATACCCAGAGTACTATTCAAAACAGCTGAAAGGTAGAAACAACTCAAATGACTATCAACCGATGAATGAATAATGTGGTATATTCATACAACCAAATATCACTTGCCAAAAACAAAAGTACACACTGATACACTCTATGATATAGACAAATGTAAAAAGCAGATACATATTTCACAATTCCATTTATATGAAATATCAAAAAAAAGGTATTTTGTTTTTGTTTTTTTAATCTGCCAGGTGCAAGTGGCTCATGCCTGTAATCTTAGCTACTCAGGAGGGTAAGATCGGAGGATAGGAATTCAAAACCAGCCCAGGCAGGAAAGTCTGAGACTCTTACCTCAATTTAATCACACACACAAAAAAAGCCAGAAGTAAAGCTGTGGCTCAAGTTGTACAGTTCTAGCCTTAAGCAAAAGAAGCTCAGGGATGGGCTGGGAAGTTGGCTCAGTGGTAGAGCTCTTGCCTTGCATGCCTGAGGCCCTGGGTTTGATTCCTCAGCACCACATAAGCAAAAAGAAAAAAGCCGAAAGTAGCGCTGTGGCTCAAGTGGTAGGGCCTTGAGCTGAAGAGCTGCGGGACAGTGCTCAGGCCCAGAGTTCAGGCCCCACAACCCAGACCATTAAAAAAAAAAAAAAAAAAGTTCAGGGACAGTGCCCAGGCTCTGAGTTCAAGCCCCAAGACTGGCAAAAAAAAAAAAAAATCGGTGGTGAACACTGAAGACTAAATGAAGCTTGTGTTCACTCTGGTAGCATATGTACTAAAACTGGAACAATTTAAGAGAAAATCATCATTTCCAAGTATGAGAAGGGGGCAAGTAAAGATTGGATACTTGGGGGAGGGGTGGGAGCTGGGAAGGGATGGGAAGGGGAAACAAAGGAGGAGGCAACAATGCTTGATAAGAAATGTACTCATTGGGCTGGGAAGGTGGCTCAGTGGTAGAGCGCTTGCTCAAGGCCCTGGGTTCGATTCCTCAGCACCACATAAGCAAAAAGAAAAAAACCGGAAGTGACGCTGTGGCTCAAGTGGTAGAGCGC